ATAACCCGCCACCGGCGTTGGCCTGTGAGCGGGAATCGAACTCTGGTCGCCGGGTTCGTATAGCGCGGCGCGCCAGCCACGACCGCCGCCGCTCCTCGCTCAAACACACGTACTCACACACACGTACTCACACACACGTACTCACACACACGTACTCACACACACGTACTCACACACACGTACTCACACACACGTACTCACACACACGTACTCACACACACGTACTCACACACACGTACTCACACACCGTACTCACACACACGTACTCACACACACGTGTACTCACACACCACGCGTACTCACACACACACACACGTACTCTCACACACACGCGTACTCACACACACACGCGTACTCACACACACACGTACCACACACACACGCGTACTCTCACACACACGCGTACTCTCACACACACGCGTACTCTCACACACACGCGTACTCACACACACACGCGTACTCACACACACGCGTACTCACACACACACACGCGTACTCACACACACACACGCGTACTCACACACACACACGCGTACTCACACACACACACGTGCTCACACACACGCGTACTCACACACACGCGTACTCACACACACGCGTACTCACACACACACACACACGTACTCACACACACACACGTACTCACACACACACACGTACTCACACACACACACGTACTCACACACGCACGCGCGCGCTCACACCTGCACGAGAAAATGATTTACGGCTAGGGAGAGGTCTCCGTCACAAGAGGTTCGCTCTGCGCGTCCGCACGCACGAGACACAGAGGCCTCCCCCGTAGAGCCCTGCACGTGACCGTGAGCGGCCAGCACCGATGAAGGCCGGCAGTGGCACGCCAGAGGGGGTGTGGGGGCGGCCAACGCCACGCCCGGCCGCCTTTGTCTCCCTCGCACGCACGCGCGTGTGTACACGCTCCGTACAAACGACCGAAAGATCGCCCCCCCCCCCCGCCGCGTGGCTACACAGGGACGACGGGGGCGAGTTGCATCGGCGAGCGGGCGCCTACGAATAACAAGCGGCCCCCGAGTCGCGTTGCCTTCAACGCACGTTTGCGTATAGCTCACCGCACGCACGCACCCACTCGCTCGCACACTCATTCACCCACACTCACTCACACTCACGCACACTCATTCACCCGCACTCACACACACTCACGCACACGCTCGCTCACACTCACACACTCACGCTCGCTCACACTCACACTCGCTCACACGCTCGCTCACACTCACGCTCGCTCACACTCTCGCTCACACTCACACACTCACACACGCTCGCTCACACACACACACGCACTCGCACACTCATTCACCCGCACTCACACGCTTGCTCACACATGCTCGCTCACACTCACACACTCACGCACACGCTCGCTCACACTCACACACACGCAGCACGTCAACTCGGCGCACGCGCGAAGAGCGTTTCAAGTTGCCACGAGCACCCACCCCCCGTGCCACCCCCCGTGCCACCCCCCGTGCCACCACCCGTGCCACCCCCCGTGCCACCCCACGCCGCACGGCGACACACACTGGCGGTAGCAGGCGCCTCCGTTCCATCGCCCGCCAAGCACGGAGACCGTCCCCCTGAGAGGCGACGCTCCCACACCGCAGCCTGTCCGAGCACCGGGTGTCGCCCTGCCGCAGGCCGGCCCAGCGGCGGGAGTCGAACCCAGGGGTCCCAAGCGAGGAGGAGGAGGAGGGGGAGGGGGAAGGGAGGAGGGGGGGGGGGCCTGCGGGCGAGGGGCGCTCAGAACGTCCAGACTCGCGGGACGGAAACACGCACAGACAGTGCTGGAGTGGGCGGGTGTGTACGTGTGTGTGTGTGAGGGTGTGTGTGTGAGGGGGTGTGTGTGTGTGTGGGTGTGTGTGTGAGGGTGTGTGTGTGAGGGGGTGTGTGTGTGTGTGGGTGTGTGTGTGAGGGTGTGTGTGTGAGGGTGTGTGTGTGAGGGGGTGTACGTGTGTGTGTGAGGGTGTGTGTGTGTGTGAGGGTGTGTGTGAGGGTGTGTGTGTGTGAGGGTGTGTACGTGTGTGTGTGTGAGGGTGTGTGTGTGTGAGGGTGTGTGTGTGTGAGGGTGTGTGTGTGTGTGTGAGGGTAGTGTGTGTGTGTGAGGGTGTGTGTGTGTGTGAGGGTGTGTACGTGTGTGAGGGTGTGTACGTGTGTGAGGGTGTGCGTGTGTGTGAGGGTGTGCGTGTGTGTGAGGGTGTGCGTGTGTGTGAGGGTGTGCGTGTGTGTGAGGGTGTGTGTGTGTGTGAGGGTGTGTGTGGTGTGTGAGGGTGTGTGTGTGTGTGAGGGTGTGCGTGTGTGTGAGGGTGTGCGTGTGTGTGAGGGTGTGCGTGTGTGTGTGAGGGTGTGCGTGTGTGTGTGAGGGTGTGCGTGTGTGTGAGGGTTGCGTGTGTGTGAGGGTGTGCGTGTGTGTGAGGTGTGCGTGTGTGTGAGGGTGTGCGTGTGTGTGAGGGTGTGCGTGTGGTGTGAGGGTGTGTGTGTGTGAGGGTGTGTGTGTGTGTGGAGGGTGTGTGTGTAGTGTGTGTGAGGGTGTGGTTGTGGGTGTGTGTGTGTGAGGGTATGTGCGTGTGTGAGGGTGTGCGTTGTGAGTGGTGTGAGGGTGTATGTGGTGTGTGTGCGTGTGTGAGGGTGTGTGTGTGCGTGTGTGAGGGTGTGTGTGTGTGTGTGAGGGTGTGTGTGTGTGTGTGTGTGTGGGTGTGTGTGTGTGTGAGGGTGTGTGTGTGTGTGTGGGGTGGTGTGTGTGTGAGGGTGTGTGTGTGTGTGAGGGTGTGTGTGTGTGTGAGGGTGTGTGTGTGGTGTGTGGGTGTGGCGGTGTGTGTGAGGGTGTGCGTGTGTGAGGGTGTGTGTGTGTGAGGGTGTGCGTGTGTGTGAGGGGTGTGCGTGTGTGTGAGGGGTGTGTGTGTGTGAGGGTTGTGTGTGTGTGTGAGGGTGTGTGTGTGTGTGTGTGAGGGTGTGCGTGGTGTGAGGGTGTGTGTGTGTGTGTGTGGTGTGTGTGAGGGTGTGTGTGTGTGTAGTGAGGGTGTTGTGTGTGGTGGTGAGGTGTGTGTGTGTGAGGGTTGTGTGTGTGTGAGGGTTGATGCGTGTGTGAGGGTGTGTGTGTGTGTGTGGAGGTGTGCGTGTGTGTGAGGGTGTGCGTGTGTGTGAGGGTGTGCGTGTGTGTGAGGGTGTGTGGTGTGTGTGAGGGTGTGCGTGTGTGTGAGGGTGTGCGTGTGTGTGAGGGTGTGCGTGTGTGAGGGTGTGTGTGTGTGTGGGTGTGTGTGTGTGTGAGGGTGTGCGTGTGTGAGGGTGTGCGTGTGTGAGGGTGTGCGTGTGTGAGGGTGTGCGTGTGTGAGGGTGTGCGTGTGTGAGGGTGCGCGTGTGTGAGGGTGTGCGTGTGTGTGAGGGTGTGCGTGTGTGTGAGGGTGTGTGTGTGTGAGGGTGTGTGTGTGTGTGGAGGGTGTGTGTGTGTGTGAGGGTGTGTGTGTGTGAGGGTGTGTGTGTGTGTGAGGGTGGTGGTGTGTGTGAGGGTGTGCGTGTGTGAGGTGTGCGTGTGTGAGGGTGTGCGTGTGTGTGAGGGTGTGCGTGTGTTGTGAGGGTGTGCGTTTGTGTGAGGGTGTGCGTGTGTGAGGGTGTGTGAGGGTGTGCGTGTGTGTGAGGGTGGTGCGTTGTGTGAGGGTGTGTGTGTGTGTGAGGGTGTGTGTGTGTGTGAGGGGTGTGTGTGTGTGTGAGGGTGGTGTGTGTGTGAGGGTGTGTGTGTGTGTGAGGGTGTGTACGTGTGTGTGAGGGTGTGCGTGTGATGTGAGGGTGTGTGTGGTGTGTTGAGGGTGTGTGTGTGTGTGAGGGTGTGTGTGGAGGGTGTGTACGTGTGTGTGTGAGGGGTGTGGGTGTGTGTGAGGGTGTGTGTGGAGGGTGTGTACGTGTGTGTGTGAGGGTGTGTGAGGGTGTGTGTGTGAGGGTGTGTGTGTGAGGGTGTGAGGGTGTGTACGTGTGTGTGAGGGTTGTGTACGTGTGTGTGAGGGTGTGTGTGTGAGGGTTGTGAGGGTGTGTACGTGTGTGTGAGGGTGTGTACGTGTGTGTGAGGGTGTGTGTGTGAGGGTGTGAGGGTGTGTACGTGTGTGTGAGGGTGTGTACGTGTGTGTGAGGGTGTGTACGTGTGTGTGAGGGTGTGTACGTGTGTGTGAGGGTGTGTACGTGTGTGTGAGGGTGTGTACGTGTGTGTGTGAGGGTGTGTACGTGTGTGTGAGGGTGTGTGTGTGTGAGGGTCTGTGTGTGTGTGAGGGTGTGTGTGTGTGTGGGAGGGTGTGCGTGGAAGGGTGTGTGTGTGAGGGTGTGTGTGGGAGGGTGTGTGTGTGAGGGTGTGTACGTGTGTGTGTGTGTGAGGGTGTGTGTGTGAGGGTGTGTGTGTGTGTGAGGGTGTGTGTGTGTGTGTGAGGGTGTGTGTGTGAGGGTGTGTGTGTGTGTGAGGGTGTGTACGTGTGTGAGGGTGTGAGGGTGTGTACGTGTGTGTGTGTGAGGGTGTGTACGTGTGCTGGTGAGTGTGTGTGGGAGGGTGTGTGTGTGGGAGGGTGTGTACGTGTGCTTGGTGTGTGTGTGTGGGAGGGTGTGTATGTGTGCGGGTGTGTGTGGGAGAGTGTATGTGTGCGGGTGTGTGTGAGGGTGTGTGTGTGTGCGTGTGTGCATGGGCGGGTGTGTGCGTGGCGGGTGTGTGTGTGCGTGGGTGTGTGTGTTGTGCGTGTGTGCATGGGCGGGTGTGTGCGTGGGCGGGTGTGTGCGTAGGCGGGTGTGTGCGTGTGTGGGTGTGTGGGAGGGTGTGTGCGTGTGCGGGTGTGTGCGTGTGTGTGTGTGTGCATGTGTGGGTGTGTGTGCGTGGGTGTGTGTGTGCGTGTGTGCATGGGCGGGTGTGTGCGTGGCGGGTGTGTGTGCGTGTGTGGGAGGGTGTGTGCGTTGTGCGGGTGTGTGCGTGTGTGTGTGTGTGTGGGTGTGTGTGCGTGTGTGGGTGTGTGCGTGTGCGCGTGGGTGTGTGAGTGCGTGGGTGTGTGCGAGTGCGCTGAGTGAATGATGTGTGGGTGGGTGATTAATTAACTGTATAGGTGCCTGCATATATAGATATGTACAGTATATGGATAGGTATTAGTGTATAGAGGTGTGCGAGTGTACTGGCTGTTGTGTGGTGTATATATGGTTATGTAGCCAACTGTACGTATCTGTACATACACGAGTTGAATGTGTGGTTACGGGCGTACATATAGGCACACGTAATTGTGTCTGTGTTCAGCCAAGTGTAAATATACATGCTTTATATAGGTGCATGGGGGTAGGTATACCTGCGTGTACTATACGTGGGTTATTTATACGCACGTCTGTATAAATGTACAACTATAGGCGTATGAATGGGTACAGGTGTATATGTGTATATGCGTGTATATATATGGGGGTACGTACATGTATGTGTGTATATATGGGGGTGGGGTTGAATAGGGCCGAGTAGGGAGCTCTTGGGATTCAGAACCTGAAGAACTCTGCCTCTGTGGGGGACACGGGGCTGGCGAGCGTGGGCACGGGGCTGGCGAGCGTGGGCACGGGGCTGGCGAGCGTGGGCACGGGGCTGGCGAGCGTGGGCACGGGGCTGGCGAGCGCGACGCCGCCGCTCACCACCCCGGCCTCACCGCCCTCCGGGTTGGTGCGCGAATGCGCCAACCTGCACACACACAGACACACACACAGACACACACACAGACACACACACAGACACACACACAGACACACACACAGACACACACACACATACACACAGACACACACACACACATACACACAGACACACACACACACAGACACACACACACACAGACACACACACACACAGACACACACACACATACACACACACAGACACACACATACACACACACACACAGACACACACACACACACATACACACACACACATACACACACACACACACAGACACACACACAGACACACACACACACAAACACACAGACACAGACACACACAAACACAGACACACACAGACACACACACACACAGACACACACAAACACACACACAGACATACACACAAAGACACACAGATATACACACAAACACACACACACAGACAGACACACAAACACACACACAGACATACACACAAACACACACACACAGACAGACACACAGACAGACACACAAACACATACACACACAAACACACAAACACACACACAGACACACACACAGACATACACACAAACACATACACACACAAACACACACACACAGACACACACACAGACAGACACACACACAGACACACACACAGACAAACACACAGACAGACACACACAGACAGACACACACAGACAGACACACACAGACACATACACAACACAGACACACACACACACAGGCGGGTCACTCTTATACTGGCGCTGCTGCTAGCGCTCCCGTGAGCCTGCAGGCCGGGGACTGCTTCGTCTCAGCCACCCACCCCACCACCATACCCCACCCCCAACCACCATACCCACCCCACCCACCATACCCACCCCACCCACCATACCCACCCCACCCACCATACCCACCCACCCACCATACCCACCCCACCCACCATACCCACCCCACCCACCATACCCACCCCACCCAGCCATACCCCCCCCACCCACCATACCCACCCCACCCACCATACCCACCCCACCCACCATACCCCCCACCCACCCTCCCACCCACCACCATACCCACCCCACCCACCATACCCACCCCACCCACCATACCCACCCCACCCACCATACCCACCCCACCCACCATACCCCCCCACCCACCATACCCACCCCACCCACCATACCCACCCCACCCACCATACCCACCCCACCCACCATACCCACCCCACCCACCATACCCACCCCACCCACCATACCCACCCCACCCACCATACCACCCCACCCACCATACCCACCCCACCCCCCATACCCACCCACCCACCCATACCCACCCCACCCACCATACCCACCCCACCCACCATAACCCACCCCACCCACCATACCCACCCCACCCACCATACCCACCCCACCCACCATACCCACCCCACCCACCATACCCACCCCACCCACCATACCCACCCCACCCACCATACCCACCCCACCCACCATACCCACCCACCCACCATACCCACCCCACCCACCATACCCACCCCCCCACCATACCCACCCACCCACCATACCCACCCCACCCACCATACCCACCCCACCCACCATACCCACCCCACCCACCATACCCACCCCACCCACCATACCCACCCCACCCCCATACCCACCCACCCACCATACCCACCCAACCCACCATACCCACCCCACCCACCATACCCACCCACCCACCATACCCACCCCACCCACCATACCCACCCCACCCACCATACCCACCCCACCCACCATACCCACCCCACCCACCATACCCACCCCACCCACCATACCCACCCCACCCACCATACCCACCCCACCCACCATACCCACCCCACCCACCATACCCACCCCACCCACCATACCCACCCCACCCACCATACCCACCCCACCCACCATACCCACCCCACCCACCATACCCACCCCCACCCACCATACCCACCCCACCCACCATACCCACCCCACCCACCATACCCACCCCACCCACCATACCCACCCCACCCACCATACCCACCCCACCCACCATACCCCACCCACCCACCATACCCACCCCACCCACCATACCCACCCCACCCACCATACCCACCCCACCCACCATACCCACCCCACCCACCATACCCACCCACCCACCATACCCACCCCACCCACCATACCCACCCCACCCACCATACCCACCCCACCCACCATACCCACCCCACCCACCATACCCACCCCACCCACCATACCCACCCCACCCACCATACCCACCCCACCCACCATACCCACCCCACCCACCATACCCACCCCACCCACCATACCCACCCCCACCCAACATACCCACCCCAACCACCATACCCACCCCCACCCACCATACCCACCCCACCCACCATACCCACCCCACCCACCATACCCACCCACCCACCATACCCCCCCCACCCACCATACCCACCCACCCACCATACCCACCCACCCACCATACCCACCCCACCCCACCATACCCACCCCACCCACCATACCCACCCCACCCACATACCACCCCACCCACCATACCCACCCCACCCACCATACCCACCCCACCCACCATACCCACCCCCCCACCATACCCACCCACCCACCATACCCACCCCACCCACCATACCCACCCCACCCACCATACCCACCCCACCCACCATACCCACCCACCCACCTACCCACCCACCCACCATACCCACCCCACCCACCATACCCACCCCACCCACCATACCCACCCCACCCACCATACCCACCCCACCCACCATACCCACCCCACCCACCATACCCACCCCACCCACCATACCCACCCCACCCACCATACCCACCATACCCACCCCACCCACCATACCCACCCCACCCACCCCACCCACCCCACCCACCCCACCCACCATACCCACCCCACCCACCATACCCACCCCCACCCACCATACCCACCCCACCCACCACACCCCACCCCACCCACCACACCCACCCTCTCTACCCACCATACCCACCTCTCTATCCACCATACCCACCCCACCCACCATACCCACCCCACCTACCCTCTCTACCCACCATCTCTACCCACCATACCCACCATACCCACCCTCTCTACCCACCATTCCCACCCTCTCTACCCACCATACCCACCCTCTCTACCCACCAATACCCACCCTCTCTACCCACCATACCCACCCTCTCTACCCACCACACCCACCCTCTCTACCCACCATACCCACCCTCTCTACCCACCACACCCACCCTCTCTACCCACCATACCCACCCTCTCTACCCACCATACCCACCCTCTCTACCCACCACACCACCCTCTCTACCCACCATACCCACCCTCTCTACCCACCACACCCACCCTCTCTACCCACCATACCCACCCTCTCTACCCACCATACCCACCCTCTCTACCCACCACACCCACCCTCTCTACCCACCATACCCACCCTCTCTACCCACCACACCCACCCTCTCTACCCACCACACCCACCCCACATTCGCCACCGTTGTTGACTGTAAGCGGGAATTGAACTCGGTTCCTGCAGGTGCCACGGGTTGACCGACCGAGATGACTGACCGATGCACCACCCTGTGCAATGCGTCCTGTGCCAACCTGCTGTGTTTTAGCACAACCGTGGACAATCGCATACTCGCCCACTCGCCCACCCACCCTTACCCACCCACTGACCCTCACCCACCCACCCACCCACCCTCCCTCCAGTGTAACTCACCTCCCAAAAGCTTCGTCCAGGTCATCGTCATCAGCAAAGTCCTACGGAGGCACGAGCAGACAAAGGCGCGATAGAATCACTCAGCCCATCATCCCTCCAGGGTGGATAAAACAACAAGTACACCCCCCGCCCACCGTCCCACTCACCCGTCCACCCACCCACTCACCCGCCCACACACTGACCCACCCCACACACCCCCCACCCAATGACTGACCCCACCCACCCACACACCCGCCCACCACCCACTGACTGACCCCGCCCACTGACTGACCCCGCCCACTGACCCACCCGCCCACACACCCGCCCACCGCCTACTGACTGACCCCGCCCACCCACTCACCTGCCCCCCCCCCCTCCTTACGCCCCCCTGGTGCTCACCGTGGCCCCCCACCCTCGCGGGGCCCCCCCCAGAGGAGGGGGCGGCACCGTGTGGGCAGCCCGGGGGAAGTCGGGGGGAGGGGTGGGGGGCCCGCCGGGGTGGGTGGGGGCGCCCCAGGGGGCGGCCGCAGAGCACTCGGACAGGTCCAGCAGCGGCAGGGAAGGGGGGCCCGTGGGGGGCGCCCCCTCCAGGGGGGGCCCTGGACACGCGGAGATCACGGGGGGGGGGGGGGGGGGCAGAGAGAGCGCAGGGAGAGGGGCGGGGGGGTGAGGGGAGACACGGTGAGCCGGCGGGCCAGAGGATGCCCTAGCGGGTGAGCGACGAGTGGAGTGGAGTGAGTGGAGTGAGTGAGTGGAGTGGAGCGAGTGGAGTGAGTGAGTGGAGTGAGTGGAGTGAGTGAGTGGAGTGGAGCGAGTGGAGTGAGTGAGTGGAGTGAGTGAGTGAGTGGAGTGAGTGGAGTGAGTGAGTGGAGTGAGTGGGTGGAGCGAGTGAGTGAGTGGAGTGAGTAGAGTGAGTAGAGTGAGTGAGTGGAGTGAGTAGAGTGAGTGAGTGGAGTGAGTGAGTGGAGTGAGTGGAGTGAGTGGAGTGAGTGAGTGGAGTGAGTGGGTGGAGTGAGTGAGTGAGTGGAGTGGAGTGAGTGGGTGAGTGAGTGGAGTGGAGTGAGTGGGTGAGTGGAGCGAGTGGAGTGGAGTGAGTGGGTGAGTGGAGTGAGTGAGTGGAGTGAGTGGAGTGGAGTGAGTGGGTGAGTGGAGTGAGTGGAGTGGAGTGAGTGGAGTGAGTGGAGTGAGTGGAGTGAGTGAGTGGAGTGAGTGAGTGGAGTGAGTGAGTGGAGCGAGTGGAGTGGAGTGAGTGGAGTGAGTGGAGTGGAGTGAGTGGAGCGAGTGGAGTGGAGTGAGTGAGTGGAGTGAGTGGAGTGGAGTGAGTGGAGGGAGTGGAGTGGAGTGAGTGAGTGGAGTGAGTGAGTGAGTGGAGTGAGTGGAGTGAGTGAGTGGAGCGAGTGAGTGGAGTGGAGTGAGTGGGTGAGTGGAGTGAGTGAGTGGAGTGAGTGGAGTGGAGTGAGTGGGTGAGTGGAGTGAGTGGAGTGGAGTGAGTGGAGTGAGTGGAGTGGAGTGAGTGGGTGAGTGGAGTGAGTGGAGTGGAGTGAGTGGAGTGAGTGGAGTGAGTGAGTGGAGTGAGTGAGTGGAGTGAGTGAGTGGAGTGAGTGAGTGGAGCGAGTGGAGTGGAGTGAGTGAGTGGAGCGAGTGAGTGGAGTGGAGTGAGTGGAGCGAGTGGAGTGGAGTGAGTGAGTGGAGTGAGTGGAGTGGAGTGAGTGGAGTGAGTGGAGTGGAGTGAGTGAGTGGAGTGAGTGAGTGAGTGGAGTGAGTGGAGTGAGTGAGTGGAGTGAGTGAGTGAGTGGAGTGAGTGGAGTGAGTGAGTGGAGCGAGTGAGTGGAGTGGAGTGAGTGGGTGAGTGGAGTGAGTGAGTGGAGTGAGTGGAGTGGAGTGAGTGGGTGAGTGGAGTGAGTGGAGTGGAGTGAGTGGAGTGAGTGGAGTGAGTGAGTGAGTGGGTGAGTGGAGTGAGTGGAGTGGAGTGAGTGGAGTGAGTGGAGTGAGTGAGTGGAGTGAGTGAGTGGAGCGAGTGGAGTGGAGTGGAGTGAGTGAGTGGAGCGAGTGAGTGGAGTGGAGTGAGTGGAGCGAGTGGAGTGAGTGAGTGGAGTGAGTGGAGTGGAGTGAGTGGAGTGAGTGGAGTGGAGTGAGTGAGTGGAGTGAGTGAGTGAGTGGAGTGAGTGGAGTGAGTGGAGTGAGTGAGTGGAGCGAGTGAGTGGAGTGGAGTGAGTGGGTGAGTGGAGTGAGTGAGTGGAGTGAGTGGAGTGGAGTGAGTGGGTGAGTGGAGTGAGTGGAGTGGAGTGAGTGGAGTGAGTGGAGTGAGTGAGTGAGTGGGTGAGTGGAGTGAGTGGAGTGGAGTGAGTGGAGTGAGTGGAGTGAGTGAGTGGAGTGAGTGAGTGGAGTGAGTGAGTGGAGTGAGTGAGTGGAGCGAGTGGAGTGGAGTGGAGTGAGTGAGTGGAGCGAGTGAGTGGAGTGGAGTGAGTGGAGCGAGTGGAGTGAGTGAGTGGAGTGAGTGGAGTGGAGTGAGTGGAGTGAGTGGAGTGGAGTGAGTGAGTGGAGTGAGTGAGTGAGTGGAGTGAGTGGGAGTGAGTGAGTGGAGCGAGTGAGTGGAGTGGAGTGAGTGGGTGAGTGGAGTGAGTGAGTGGAGTGAGTGGAGTGGAGTGAGTGGGTGAGTGGAGTGAGTGGAGTGGAGTGAGTGGAGTGAGTGGAGTGAGTGAGTGGAGTGAGTGGAGTGGAGTGAGTGGGTGAGTGGAGTGAGTGGAGTGGAGTGAGTGGAGTGAGTGGAGTGAGTGAGTGGAGTGAGTGAGTGGAGTGAGTGAGTGGAGTGAGTGAGTGGAGCGAGTGGAGTGGAGTGGAGTGAGTGAGTGGAGCGAGTGAGTGGAGTGGAGTGAGTGGAGCGAGTGGAGTGGAGTGAGTGAGTGGAGTGAGTGGAGTGGAGTGAGTGGAGTGAGTGGAGTGGAGTGAAGTGAGTGGGTGAGTGGGTGAGTGGAGTGAGTGGAGTGGAGTGAGTGGAGTGAGTGGAGTGGAGTGAGTGGGTGAGTGGAGTGAGTGGAGTGGAGTGAGTGGAGTGAGTGGAGTGAGTGAGTGGAGTGAGTGGAGTGGAGTGAGTGGGTGAGTGGAGTGAGTGGAGTGGAGTGAGTGGAGTGAGTGGAGTGAGTGAGTGGAGTGAGTGAGTGGAGTGAGTGAGTGGAGTGAGTGAGTGGAGCGAGTGGAGTGGAGTGGAGTGAGTGAGTGGAGCGAGTGAGTGGAGTGGAGTGAGTGGAGCGAGTGGAGTGGAGTGAGTGAGTGGAAGTGAGTGGACTGGAGTGAGTGGAGTGAGTGGAGTGGAGTGAGTGAGTGGAGTGAGTGAGTGAGTGGAGTGAGTGGAGTGAGTGAGTGGAGCGAGTGAGTGGAGTGGAGTGAGTGGGTGAGTGGGTGAGTGGAGTGAGTGGAGTGGAGTGAGTGGAGTGAGTGGAGTGAGTGAGTGGAGTGAGTGGAGTGGAGTGAGTGGGTGAGTGGAGTGAGTGGAGTGGAGTGAGTGGAGTGAGTGGAGTGAGTGAGTGGAGTGAGTGAGTGGAGTGAGTGAGTGGAGTGAGTGAGTGGAGCGAGTGGAGTGGAGTGGAGTGAGTGAGTGGAGCGAGTGAGTGGAGTGGAGTGAGTGGAGCGAGTGGAGTGGAGTGAGTGAGTGGAGTGAGTGGAGTGGAGTGAGTGGAGTGAGTGGAGTGGAGTGAGTGAGTGGAGTGAGTGAGTGAGTGGAGTGAGTGGAGTGAGTGAGTGGAGCGAGTGAGTGGAGTGGAGTGAGTGGGTGAGTGGAGTGAGTGAGTGGAGTGAGTGGAGTGGAGTGAGTGGGTGAGTGGAGTGAGTGGAGTGGAGTGAGTGGAGTGAGTGGAGTGAGTGAGTGGAGTGAGTGAGTGGAGTGAGTGAGTGGAGTGAGTGAGTGGAGTGAGTGAGTGGAGCGAGTGGAGTGGAGTGAGTGAGTGGAGCGAGTGAGTGGAGTGGAGTGAGTGGAGCGAGTGAGTGGAGCGGAGTGAGTGGGTGAGTGGAGTGAGTGAGTGGAGTGAGTGGAGTGGAGTGAGTGGGTGAGTGGAGTGAGTGGAGTGGAGTGAGTGGAGTGAGTGAGTGAGTGGAGTGGAGTGAGTGGGTGGAGTGGAGTGAGTGGGTGAGTGGAGTGAGTGAGTGGAGTGAGTGGAGTGGAGTGAGTGGGTGAGTGGAGTGAGTGGAGTGGAGTGAGGGGAGTGGAGTGAGTGAGTGAGTGGAGTGGAGTGAGTGGAGTGAGTGAGTGAGTGGAGTGGAGTGAGTGAGTGGAGCGAGTGAGTGGAGTGGAGTGAGTGGGTGAGTGGAGTGAGTGAGTGGAGTGAGTGGAGTGGAGTGAGTGGGTGAGTGGAGTGAGTGGAGTGGAGTGAGTGGAGTGAGTGAGTGAGTGGAGTGGAGTGAGTGAGTGAGTGAGTGAGTGGAGTGGAGTGAGTGGGTGAGTGGAGTGAGTGGAGTGGAGTGAGTGGGTGAGTGGAGTGGAGTGAGTGGAGTGGAGTGAGTGAGTGGAGTGAGTGAGTGGAGTGAGTGGAGTGAGTGGAGTGAGTGGAGTGAGTGAGTGAGTGGAGTGAGTGAGTGGAGTGAGTGAGTGAGTGGAGTGAGTGAGTGGAGTGAGTGAGTGGAGTGAGTGAGTGGAGTAAGTGAGTGGAGTGAGTGAGTGGAGTGAGTGAGTGAGTGGAGTGAGTGAGTGGAGTGAAGTGAGTGAGTGGAGTGAGTAGAGTGAGTGAAGTGAGTGAGTGGAGTGAGTGAGCGGAGTGGGTGAGTGGAGTGAGTGAGTGAGCGGAGTGAGTGGGTGAGTGGAGTGAGTGAGTGAGGTCAGTGAGTGGAGAGAGTGAGTGGAGTGAGTGAGTGGAGTGAGTGGAGTGGGTGAGTGAGTGGAGTGAGTGAGTGGAGTGAGTGAAGTGAGTGATGTGAGTGAGCTGGTGAGTGAGTGAGTTGGTGAGTGAGTGAAGTGAGTGAGCTGGTGAGTGAGTGAGTGAGCTGGTGAGTGAGTGAGCGAGCTGGTGAGTGAGTGGGTGAGTGAGCTGGTGAGTGAGTTGGTGAGTGAGTGAGTGAGCTGGTGAGTGAGCTGGTGAGCTGGTGAGTGAGTGAGTGAGTGAGCTGGCGAGTGAGTGAGTGAGCTGGTGAGTGAGTGAGTGAGTGAGCTGGTAAGTGAGTGAGTGAGTGAGCTGGTGAGTGAGTGAGCTGGTGAGTGAGTGAGTGAGCTGGTAAGTGAGTGAGTGAGTGAGCTGGTGAGTGAGTGAGCTGGTGAGTGAGCTGGTGAGTGAGTGAGTGAGCTGGTGAGTGAGTGAGTGAGCTGGTGAGTGAGTGAGTGAGCTGGTGAGTGAGTGAGCTGGTGAGTGAGTGAGTGAGCTGGTGAGTGAGTGAGCTGGTGAGTGAGTGAGTGAGCTGGTGAGTGAGTGAGCTGGTGAGTGAGTGAGTGAGCTGGTGAGTGAGTGAGCTGGTGAGTGAGTGAGTGAGCTGGTGAGTGAGCTGGTGAGTGAGTGAGCTGGTGAGTGAGTGAGTGAGCTGGTGAGTGAGTGAGTGAGCTGGTGAGTGAGTGAGTGGTGCTGCTCTGCCTCACCGTCCCCTAGGGGTGCTGCTCCTCCCTCCGTGCCGCTCCGCATGGCGACGCCACCGCTGCCCTGCTGAGGGGGGGCGCCCCCTTCCTTAGCTGCGCCCGGTGACACAGGTCAACAAGAGGGGCATACGCGGTTGTGTGTGACTGTGTGTGACTGTGTGTGAGTGTGTGTGAGTGTGTGTGAGAGTGTGTGTGAGTGTGTGCGAGTGTGAGAGTGTGTGAGTGTGTGTGAGAGTGTGCGAGAGTGTGTGTGACTGTATGAGAGTGTGTGTGTGTGTGTGCGTGTGTTCGTCTGTGTGAGTGTGTGAGTGTGTGTGAGTGTGAGAGAGTGTGCGAGAGTGTGCGAGTGTGTGTGTGACTGTGTGTGTGTGTGTGTGATATTGTGTGTGAGAGTGCGTGTGACTGTGTGAATGTGTGTGAGTGCGAGTGTGTGCGAGTGTGTGTGTGTGACTGTGTGTGTGACTGTGTGAGTGTGTGTGTGAGAGTGTGTGTGTGTGTGTGAGTGTGCGAGTGTGTGTGTGACTGTGTGTGCGAGAGTGTGTGTGAGAGTGTGTGTGGGAGTGTGCGTGAGAGTGCGTGTGACTGTGTGAATGTGTGTGTGTGAGAGTGTGTGCGAGTGTGTGCGAGTGTGTGCGAATGTGTGAATGTGTGTGTGACTGTGTGAGCGTGTGTGAGAGAGTGTGAGAGAGTGTGTGCGAGTGTGTACGAGTGTGTGCGTGACTGTGTGAGTGAGTGTGTGCGAGGGAGTGTGTGAGAGTGCGTGTGACTGTGTGAATGTGTGTGTGACTGTGTGAGTGTGTGTGAGAGAGTGTGAGAGAGTGTATGTGTGTGCGAGTGTGTGCGAGTGTGCGCGAGTCTGAGAGTCTGGCAAAACAACCCCCTACCTCCCCGTGATGCCGGACGGCAACGGTGTGGTGGGCAGTGCCGTGGGGAGGGGGCGGGGCCCAATTCTGATTGGGCCATTCCCCCCATGGCGTCTGTGACCACCACAGCAGCCAAACGGGGGCTCTGGACGGGTGTGAGGGGCTGGTGACCCCTCCACCTTCAATCTCAGCACCACTAAACCACGGAATGAGAATCTAATTAAAAGCTTGTACTGGAGAACCCGGGGGTACAGGCCTCCATGGCGTCCCCTGACCAAAATCCAATTTGGCAGAGCCAGGAGACTGAATCTCTACCCTCGGATTTTCTTCAGAAACAACAAGAAGCCACTTCGTGTGGCCACGTGGAATGTTCCAACGCTCACTGCGGAGAAGAGGCGGCCGCTCCTCTGTCAGGAGCTGGACCGGTACCGCCTGGATCTCTGCGGTATTGAGGAGGTCCGATTGAACCGGTTCTGGCTCCTGCCACCACGAGGGGTGGACAGTCCTCTACTCGGGGCAGGAGACTGCCAAACAACAGGGAGTGGCTCTTCTTCTGAACAAAATAATGAAGGGGGCGTGGGAGCGTGGCGGTGAGGTGTGGGAAGCTGTAAAGGAAAGGGCGGTCCTGCACAGATGCCATATTTTCTGTCCGTCTGCTACAGCAGAGGTGTAGGGAATTCCAACAAGACCTACATCTCTGCTTTATTGACCTGGTCAAGGCCGATGATACCGTCAGTAGGCCTGGGCTCTGGGTTGTTCTTCGTGCTTTTGGAGTCCCTGACCCTCTGCTCAAGATCATTAAGGACCTTCATGATGGTGAGCGGGCCCAGGTAAAACTACGTGGCCGGGAGTCGGAGCCATTCCCTGTACACATTGGGGTGCGACAGGGATGTCCTCTGGCTCCCACATTATTTAACATCTATTTCGACCACGTAGTTCGTGAAGCCTTCGATGGATGTACCGGAGGAATTTCCATCTGGTACAGATACAATGGGAGGCTGATCGATGCCCGGGTGCGGTCAAGAGATGGCTCCCTATTGGTCAACCATGTTATGTATGCCGATGATTCGGTAATTGCTGCTCACTCAGAGGAGGAGTTGGAGGCGCTGCTGCTGAACCTGGAGCTTTCCACCAAGAGGTGGGGCATTACCATCAGCCGCACCAAAACGAAGCACCTGCCTGGGTATTTTGTACCATCGGACACTCCACCCCTACAACTCCCAATTGGTGATAGGGCAGTTGTGGAGAGAGTGGAGAGTTGTCCATACCTGGGCAGTGTGTTTATGACCGGCTCCAGTTTAAAAGCATAGGTCTCACTCCGAATCAGTCGAGCGGCAATATCTTTTCATCGGTTGCGTAACGCTGTATGGAAGCTACCTGGTCTGTCGCTCCGCACTAAGCTTCAGGTCTTCTCGGCCACGGTCATTCCCTCCCTTCTCTACGATTGCGAAACGTGGACCCCCTTAATGGAACATCTTCGCCGGTTAGAAACATTTAGGCTAGCCTGCCTACGATCCATCCTGGGTTTAGCCAGGCTGGCTTGTGTGAGGAGCTCACAAATCCTTGAGAGATCTGGACAAAGTCCTATTGGTGAGCTCCTCCGGCAGGCAAGGCTGCGTTGGCTAGGTCATGTAGCCCGCATGCCCAGCCACCACATGCCGAAACAGCTTTTGTTCGGCCGGATCGATGGGGCTAAATGGGCGCGGCACCGGCTGGAGAAGAGATGGAGTGATGTGGTACAGGAAGATGTGGAGCTGAGTGGACTTGCCGATGACTGGTACCAGCGGTGTCAAGATCGGCCTCTGTGGAGGAGGCTCGTGAAGGACGCTACTGGGTAGTTGGAGGTAGTCGCCCTCCAGCAACAATGGAGGGCGGAGGAGTGATGCTCACAACAACGAGCGGAGCGCCGGGTGGCTAAAAGCACAGCAAGTTGGCACAGTAGAGGGGACAGGTGGTGCATCAGCCAGTCATCTCAGTCATCTCAGTCAGTTGACCCGTGGCACCTGCTGGGTCTGCCCCGTGACCTCCTGCCCGCGGGCGTTCGACACTTCACGTGGCCTCAACGTGCACCTAGCCTGGCACAAGCGTCGTGGTGACGTCACCGCCACTTAGGTGGCGAATGGCGGTTGTTGTTGTTGTGCGTGTGAGAGGAGCGGTGGTGCAGCGGTTAGCGCGCCGCACTACGAAACTGGCGACGCGGGTTCGATTCCCGCTCACGGCCAACACCAGTGGCGATTATCTGAACCCGGTCCTGGGCCTCCCCTAGGCCGACTCAGCCTCAAACGAGTACCTGGTGCGGTGTGTAGTAAAACATCGCCACTGGGGAGACAAAGGCGGCCGGGCGTGTTGCTGGCCACCCACCCCCTCGTGCGCCGTGCCGGCCTTGATCGGTGCTCGCTAACGGCACTTGCCCCTACAGCCTGTCAAGGCCGCACGGGGGATCTTTGCCTTTTGCACGACGCGCAAGTACGAGCGGCGGGGCTGCGGCGCAGTGGCCGGCGTGGCGCGCTGCGAACCAGGTTCGCCCGGGTTCGAATCCCGCCCGTGGCGAGCATCGTGAGACCCCAGGGGCGTGAGGGGGGGGGGGGGGGGCGCTCTAGTGGGCCGTACCTTCTTTAGCCGCTTGCCAGAACTCAAACGCCACGCGGAACGCCTGGGCCACCGTCAGAGTCACCGCCTGGGCCTGGACAGGGGCGGCAACACAGGGGAGTGGTGGTGGAGGGGGGTTAGCGCTACGAACCCGGCGAAGCGAGTTCCATTCCCGCTCAGCGACAACCGGCGACGATCACCTGAACCCGTCCCGTGCCTCCCCCTAGGTCGACTCGGCCTCAAACGGGCACCCGGTGCGGTGCGTAAACCATCGCCAAGTGGGGAGACAAAGTGGCCACCCACCCCGCCCGGGGCGTGCCACAGTGCCGTCCTTCATGGGAGCAACTCGCCAACAGCGACACGCGTTTACAATCAACGACAACGCCACGCGTTTAGAATCAACGACAACACGCGTTTATAATCAACACGCGTTTACAATCAACGACAACGCCACGCGTTTAGAATCAACAACAACAACGCCACAAATTTAGAATCAACAACAACAACACGCGTTCAGAATCAACAACGACAACACACGTTTAGAATCAACAACAACAACACGCGTTCAGAATCAACAACAACAACACGCGTTCAGAATCAACAACAACAACAACGCCACACATTTAGAATCAACAACAACACGCGTTCAGAATCAACAACGACAACACACGTTTAGAATCAACAACAACAACACGCGTTCAGAATCAACAACAACAACACGCGTTCAGAATCAACAACAACAACACGCGTTCAGAATCAACAACAAACACACGTTTAGAATCAACAACAACAAACACGCGTTTAGAATCAACGACAACGCCACGCGTTTAGAATCAACAACGACAACACACGTTTAGAATCAACAACGACAACACACGTTTAGAATCAAGGACAACGCCACGTGTATAGAATCAACAACAACAACGCGTTAAGGCGTACCTGGTTGCTGCTGTAGATTTCCACGTGACGACAAGACGCTTTTTGTTGAGCGGTCATTTGCGGTGGTCAAGTTGCTTCTGATAAGAGCCACATAGCTCGGAGGCTACACGGGGGACCTTGATCTGTGCGAGCGAGCGAACGAGTGCATGCGTGCGTGTGCGAGTGTGTGTGTGTGCACGGAGGTGATGAGCGAGTGAGCTAGAGTAAGCTAGAGAGTGAATGAGCGAGTAGTGAGCGAGGTAGCGAGCGTACGAATGTTTGCGTGCAAGGGGGTGATGAGCGAGTGAGCTAAAGAGCGAGTAAGCTAGAGAGTGAATGAGCGAGTAGTGAACGAGTAGTGAGCGAGTGAATGAGCGAGCGGGCAGTGAGTGAGTGATTGAGCGAGCGAGGAGTGAGCGAGGAGTGATTGAGGAGCGAGTGAGGAGCAAGCGAGGAGTGAGTGATTGAGTGAGCGAGGAGTGAACGAGTGAGCAAGCAGTGAGTGAGCGATTGAGTAAGCGAGTGAGGAGTGATTGAGGAGCGAGCGAGTGATCGAGTGAGCGAGTGAGGAGTGATTGAGGAGCGAGCGAGTGATTGAGTGAGCGAGTGAGGAGTGAATGAGGAGCGAGCGAGGAGTGAGTGACGAGCAAGGAGCAAGCGAGGAGTGAGCGAGAAGTGAGTGAGGAGCAAGCGAGGAGTGAGTGATTGAGTGAGCGAGGAGTGAACGAGGAGTGAACGAGTGAGCGAGCAGTGAGTGAGCGATTGAGTGAGCAAGTGAGGAGCGAGCGAGGAGTGAGTGAGGAGCAAGCGAGGAGTGATTGAAGAGCGAGTGAGTGAGTGAGTGAGGAACGAGTGATTGCGTAAGCGAGGAGTGAAGAAGTGAGAGCGAGTGAGTGAGGAGCAAGTAGCGAGTGAGTGAGCAGCGAGTGAGGAGCGAGTGAGTGAGCGAGTGAGTGAGCGAGTGAGTGAGGAGCGAGTGAGTGAGTGAGCGAGTGAGGAGCGAGTGAGTGAGTGAGGAGTGAGTGAGGAGCGATTGAGGAACGAGTGAGCGAGCAGTGAGTGAGCGATTGAGTGAGCGAGTGAGGAGCGAGCGAGGAATGAGTGAGGAGCAAGGAGCGAGGAGGAAGTGAGGAGTGAGTAAGTGAGCGAGTGAGCGTGTGAGTGAGTAGCGAGTGAGTGAGTGAGGAGCGAGCGAGTGAGGAGCGAGTAGCGAGTGAGGAGCGAGTGAGGAGCGAGTGAGTGAGTGAGGAGCGAGTGAGTGAGTGAGTGAGCGAGCGAGGAGTGAGTGAGTGAGTGAGGAGCGAGTGAGTGAGTAGCGAGTGAGTGAGGAGCGAGTGAGTGGCGAGTGAGGGAGTGAGGAGCGAGTGAGGAGCGAGTGAGTGGCGAGTGAGTGAGTGAGGAGCGACGAGTGAGTGAGTGAGGAGCGACGAGTGAGTGAGTGAGGAGCGAGTGAGTGAGTGAGTGGCGAGTGAGTGGCGAGTGAGGGAGTGAGTGAGTGGCGAGTGAGTGAGTGAGTGAGCGAGTGAGGAGCGAGTGAGCAAGTAAGTGGCGAGTGAGTGAGTGAGTGAGCGAGTGAGGAGTGAGTGAGTGAGGAGTGAGTGCTTGAGCGAGCGAGGAGCAAGTGAGGAGCCAGTGAGTAGCGAGTGAGTGAGTGAGTGAGCGATTGAGTAGCGAGTGAGTGAGTGAGTGAGCGAGTGAGTGAGCGTGAGGAGTGAGTGAGGAGCGAGTGAGGAGTGAGTGAGCGAGCGAGTGAGGAGCGAGCGAGTGAGTGAGGAGCGAGTGTGGAGTGAGTGAGTGAGGAGCGAGTGAGTGAGTGAGTGAGCGAGGAGTGAGTGAGTGAGGAGCGAGTGAGTGAGTGACTGAGCGAGTGAGGAGTGAGCGAGTGAGGAGCGAGTGAGCGAGTGAGGAGCGAGTGAGTGAGGAGCGAGTGAGTGAGGAGCGAGTGAGGAGCGAGTGAGTGAGGAGCGAGTGAGTGAGTGAGTGAGGAGCGAGTGAGGAGCGAGTGAGGAGCGAGTGAGTGAGGAGCGAGTGAGTGAGGAGCGAGTGAGTGAGGAGCGAGTGAGTGAGGAGCGAGTGAGGAGCGAGAGAGGAGTGAGGAGTGAGTGAGGAGCGAGGAGTGAGTGAGGAGCGAGCGTCACCACTTTCTTCTTGGTGCAGAGGAAGGCGAAGCACTCGAGGCTGTCGTCGAGGCCGCTCTGGGCGATGAAGGCGAACACCTTGTCATGCACCTTGTCAGCCGTGCAGTACGAGATCCTAGCGGCAACACACACACACACACGTGGCCACACAGACACACACACACGTTGCCACACAGACACACACACACGTGGCCACACAGACACACACACACGTGGCCACACAGACACACACACACGTGGCCACAGACACACACACACGTGGCCACAGACACACACACACGTGGCCACAGACACACACACACACGTGGCCACAGACACACACACACACACGTGGCCACAGACACACACACACACACGTGGCCACAGACACACACACACACGTGGCCACAGACACACACACACACGTGGCCACAGACACACACACACACACACGTGGCCACAGACACACACACACACACACACGTGGCCACAGACACACACACAGACACACACACAGACACACACACACACACACGTGGCCACAGACACACACACACACACACGTGGCCACAGACACACACACACACCACGTGGCCACAGACACACACACACACACGTGGCCACAGGACACACACACACACACGTGGCCACAGACACACACACACACACGTGGCCTCAGACACACACACACACACGTGGCCACAGACACACACACACACACGTGGCCACAGACACACACACACACACACGTGGCCACAGACACACACACACACACACACGTGGCCACAGACACACACACACACACGTGGCCACAGACACACACACACACACGTGGCCACAGACACACACACACACACACGTGGCCACAGACACACACACACACACACGTGGCCACAGACACACACACACACACACGTGGCCACAGACACACACACACACGTGGCCACAGACACACACACACACGTGGCCACAGACACACACACACACGTGGCCACAGACACACACACACACGTGGCCACAGACACACACACACACGTGGCCACACACACACACACACACGTGGCCACAGACACACACACACGTGGCCACAGACACACACACACGTGGCCACAGACACACACACACGTGGCCACAGACACACACACACGTGGCCACAGACACACACACACACACACACGTGGCCACAGACACACACACACACACGTGGCCACAGACACACACACACACACGTGGCCACAGACACACACACACACACGTGGCCACAGACACACACGTGGCCACAGACACACACACACACACGTGGCCACAGACACACACGTGGCCACAGACACACACACACACACGTGGCCACAGACACACACACACGTGGCCACAGACACACACACACGTGGCCACAGACACACACACACGTGGCCACAGACACACACACACGTGGCCACAGACACACACACGTGGCCACAGACACACACACGTGGCCACAGACACACACACGTGGCCACAGACACACACACGTGGCCACAGACACACACGTGGCCACACACACACGGGGCCACACACACACGTGGCCACACAGACACACACAGCGTCTCACCGGTAGATGGACACACACACACACGCGCACCGCGTCTCACCGGTAGATGGACACACACACACACGTGGCCACACACACACACACACCACATCTCACCGGTAGATGGACACACACACACAGCGTCTCACCGGTAGATGGACACACACACACACAGCGTCTCACCGGTAGATGGACACACACACACCACGTCTCACCGGTAGATGGACACACACACACACACACCACGTCTCACTGGTAGATGGACACACACACACACACCACGTCTCACCGGTAGATGGACACACACACACACACACCACGTCTCACCGGTAGATGGACACACACACACACCACGTCTCACCGGTAGATGGACACACACACAGCACGTCTCACCGGTAGATGGACACACACACACACACAGCGTCTCACGGTAGATGGACACACACACACACCACGTCTCACCGGTAGATGGACACACACACACACCTCACCGGTAGATGGACACACACACACACCTCACCGGTAGATGGACACACACACACACACCACACCGCGTCTCACCGGTAGATGGACACACACACACACATACCTCAACGGTAGATGGACACACACACACATACCTCACCGGTAGATGGACACACACACACACAGCGTCTCACCGGTAGATGGACACACACACACTCACAGTCTCACCGGTAGATGGACACACACTCACACACTCACAGTCTCACCGGTAGATGGACACACACTCACACACTCACAGTCTCACCGGTAGATGGACACACACTCACAGTCTCACCGGTAGATGGACACACACACACACCACGTCTCACCGGACGATGGACACACACACACACACCGTGTCTCACAGGTAGATGGACACACACACGCACACACTGGTAGATGGACACACACACACAGTCTCACCGGTAGATGGACACACACACACAGTCTCACCGGTAGATGGACACACACACACAGTCTCACCGGTAGATGGCCCCACACACACACACACCACACCGTGTCTCACCGGTAGATGGACACACACACCACACCGTGTCTCACCGGTAGATGGACACACACACACACACAGTCTCACCGGTAGATGGACACACACACACACCACACCGTGTCTCACCGGTAGATGGAGATGTTGTCCAGGACCTCCCCGGTGCAGGAGTCGTGCAGCACGAGGCCTTTGGGCGAGACGGTCACCGTCACCTTGCGCAGCTTCCTGCCGCTTGCCTTCGCCTGTGCACAACGCCACAGCCGGTCCGCTAACGCCCGCTAACGCCGTGCCCTCTCCACCAACTCCACTCCTCTCCGTGCACTCCCCTACCTCTCCCCTCTCATCTCACTCTACGCACCCACCCCACCCACCCACTCCTTCACTCCCTCACCTACCCATCGCTCGCCCGCCACGCCCGCCCACTCGCTCGCCCGCCCACTCACTCACCCACCCACTCGCCCGCCCACTCGCTCACCCACTCGCCCGCCCACTCGCCCGCCCCACTCGCTCCGCCCACCCACTCACTCACTCACCCACTCGCTCACCCGTCCACTCGCTCGCCCGCCCACTCACTCACCCACTCGCTCACCCACTCGCCCCGCCCCGCCCACTCACTCACTCACCCACTCGCTCGCCCGCCCCCCACTCGCCCGCCCGCCCACTCACTCACCCACTCGCCGCCCGCCCGCTCGCTCACTCACCATGCCCACTCACTCACTCACCCACTCGCCCACTCACTCACTCACTCGCCCACTCACCCACTCACTCGCCCACTCGCTCACCCACTCACCATGCCCACGATGCGCTTGACTGCGTGCGCGGTGAGCTCCTCTCCCTTGGGCGCGTCCACGAGGGTGGAGCCCAGCTCCTTGAGGTGGAAGGACATCCCCTCCAGCAGCGTCTCCTTCGTGTCCGTCCAGTTCTCCGGCAGCTCTAACGGAGCGCGCAAAGACAAAGAACCCCCGCGTAGCCTGTAACAGACTGTCGGGGCAAGTGCTGTTAGCGAGCAGCGCCTGTGATGGACGGCACCGTGGCACGCGAGGGGGTGGGTGGCCAGAGCCGCGCCCGGCCGCCTTTGTCTCCCCGGCGGCGATGTTTACTGCACATCCGCACCGGGTACTCGTTTGATGACCGAGTCGACCTAGGGAAGGCCCGGGACCGGTTGGGATATTCATCGCCGGTGTTTGGTGGCCGTGGGCGGGAATCGAACTCGGGCCGCCGGGTCCATAGCGCTAACCGTTGCACCACCGCTCCGCCCTCAGTTCTCACGGAGACAAAAATCCCCTTGTGGAGCCTCAACGGGCCGTCAACGTCTTCCACCTCGTCCACGCTGGCGATGTTGACTCCCTCGCCAGGTACACAGGAGGACGTGGGTTCAATCCCGACCCCAACGCCTGCTGCTGTATGTTTGGAGTTTGCGTGCAGTCGCTAAAGTCGTAGTCGTTATAGTCGCTATAGTCGCTATAGTCGCTATAGTCGCTATAGTCGCTATAGTCGCTATAGTCGCTATAGTAGTAGTCGCTATAGTCGCTATAGTAGTAGTCGCTATAGTCGCTAAAGTCGTAGTCGTCATAGTAGTAGTCGCTATAGTAGTAGTCGCTATAGTCGCTATAGTAGTAGTCGCTATAGTCGCTAAAGTCGTAGTCGTCATAGTAGTAGTCGCTATAGTAGTAGTCGTTATAGTCGCTATAGTCGCAGACGCTAAAGTCGCTAAAGTCGTAGTCGCTATAGTCGCTGTAGTCGCTATAGTCGCTATAGTCACTGTAGTCGTTATAGTCGCTATAGTCGTTATAGTCGCTATAGTCGCTATAGTAGTCGCTATAGTCGCTATAGTCGTTATAGTTATTATAGTCGCTATAGTCGCTATAGTAGTCGCTATAGTCGCTATAGTCGTTATAGTTATTATAGTCGCTATAGTCACTATAGTCGTTATAGTCGCTATAGTCGCTATAGTAGTAGTCGCTATAGTCGCTAAAGTCGCTAAAGTCGTAGTCGTCATAGTAGTAGTCGCTATAGTCGCTAAAGTCGTTATGGTCGTTATAGTCGTCATAGTAGTAGTCGTTATAGTCGATATAGTCGCTATAGTCGCTATAGTCGCAGTCGTTGTAGTCGCTAAAGTCGCAGTCGTTGTAGTCGCTGTAGTCGTTATAGTCGCTGTAGTCGTTATAGTCGTTGTAGTCGCTATAGTCGCTATAGTCGTTATAGTCGTTATAGTCGTTATAGTCGCTAAAGTCGTTATAGTCGCTATAGTCGTTATAGTCGCAGTCGCTATAGTTGTTATAGTCGTTGTAGTCATTATAGTCGCTATAGTCGTTATAGTCATTATAGTCGCAGTCGCTATAGTTGTTATAGTCGTTGTAGTCGTTATAGTTATTATAGTCGTTATAGTTATTATAGTTATTATAGTCGTTATAGTTATTATAGTTATTATAGTCGTTATAGTTATTATAGTTATTATAGTCGTTATAGTTATTATAGTTATTATAGTCGTTATAGTCGCTATATTTATATCCACACGCAGCAGCCGCCCCCCCCACCCCAACTTCGATCCTTGACAAACAAACCGCGCTCAAAAAACCTCAAGCCGACGACCGGCGCTTTATCTTGCAAACAAACACGCGCCGCGCGCGGTAGCCGCAGCAAAGTTACAATTCCGGCTGTAACCACACACACGCACGCAACAGACAAAGATCCCCCGTGTAGCCTGTAACAGACTTGTTTGGGGGGCAAGTGCTGTTGTCGAGTGGCACCGGGAAGGTCGCCCCCCCCCCCCCCGTGGCACACGAAGCGGGCGGGTGGGTCGGCACCAGTGGCCAAGTTTGTACGCACCGCACCAGGTAAGCCGCTCGAGGCGGAGTCGACCTAGGGGAGGCCCGGAACCAGATCGGGTAATCGTCGCTGGCATGGGTGGAGGAGGGCCGACCCCGAGACCCGGGTCCTCGACTCTAGACACCGAGCCTCAACTTAAAGCACTAAAAAGCCAACAAAACCCGTTAACCGTGAGGCCCCATTTTGCACTGCCATTCAAGCGTGGATAACGATCGCACGCCAACAGAGGCTCGAAGTTTTCTTCGTGCTTCGCGAGACTTACTACCCCGGCTTCGCCGAGACTTGGATTCGCGTCTTGGATTAATGCACGGCCCACTCGCGAGGGTGGGGGGGGATGCGTGACGTCAGCGGGCACACTGCGTGACGCTGCCGCATGAGCGGTGACATCACAGACGTGACGTCACCGCTCGCTTGCCGTGCAAAATATATCCATTATTGCGCCCCCCCCCGCCCCACCCCCAAAATACAAAAGTCTATTTGTATACTTTTTGCATTGTGTACAGTCTGGAAGCTACCCACGTGCCAAATTTCAACTTTGTTGCATGTTGTGAAGTATGCTAAACATTTCGAACAGACGCACATTCACACATTTCCCTTTTATCGGAAGGATCACGACGAAGATGGCGATGATGGCTGCACAGCGACCCCGCACGTCGACGCTGCGATGTGGACAGAGGCAGGCGACCGGCACGGAACGACGATTTCCTCGCACCCCCCCCCCCACAACCCCCCCAGCAAAACAAGGGCTCCCTCCGACTGCCCCTCCCCTCCTCATCACCGCGGTGGTAGAACACACCGCCGCAGCTAGCGCCAAGGTCGTGACTTCGACCGCAACTGCAAGCAATGCAACTAAAAGGCGATGCTGACGACGTCGCCGAAACGGAAGAATTAAACTGGGCCTGAAACGCAAAAAAAAATTGTTCCTCGTACGACGCGAATGTAAAGAAATGATCAGATATATAATAATCCGTGATCCGCAAGTTCGACGTCACAGGAAGTGATGTCACAGACACCATCAAGACTCATGAACCCGAACTCGAGACCCAATTTTTTTGCGTATATATATCGCGAATTAAAAATAAGCAATAACATTTCAGTGATCCGAAAGTTTGATGTCACAGGAACGTGACGGGTGTCACAGGAAGCGATGTCAGACACCACCGAGACTCCCGATTTTATGGAAGCATTCAACCGAACCAAGGAGGAACGATTCATATTTTGAAAGATGCAAATATAAAAATTCCACGATTCGAAAGTTAGATGTCACAGACACCATCTAGACTCCTGATTTCTAAGGAATCATAAACCGAGCGCGAGACCCAACATTTTTTGTTCAGATATTGCGAATTAAAAAAGTAATAACATTCCGCGATCCGGTCACGGGAAGTCACGGATGTCACAGGAAGTGATGTCACAGACACTACCGAGACTCTTGATTTAACGGAATCATTCAACCGAACCCGCGATGCAATTAATATTTTGAACGGTTGCAAATAACAAAATATAAAAATTCCGCGATCCGAAAGTTTGATGTCACAGGAAGTGATGTCACAGACGCGACACGAAAGGCTCACGTGCGGCTCTGCTGTGGAGAATGACAAAATATATAACCAGATAATCCATCTCCTTCGCGTACAACACAATGCGTCTCAACATGTAAAAAAAAAGAACCCCATGAAAGTTATTACACAACCCTTACGGTACAGAGGGCATTTTGCGTCTCATTATCTTGTTTACATTCTACGCAGCCCCGCGCATTTATTATCGAGTTATGCATCGCCGTATCATTTTGCGTCCAACTAGGACCCGCGTAGCGTAAAGTGCGGGAGGTGACATGAAACCAGTCCCTGCCGATAAGCATCTGCCAGCTCACCAGCATTGCTTCAAGCGACAAGACCCCGACTCTGCTGCTGATGATGACGACGACGAGACACCAAATGTTAAAACCGGTCGCGGAGTTGTGCTCACACGTGGAGCCCATTGCTGCCAACGCTGTTCACTCCCCGGAGAGCGCCGTGTGACCGATGGGAAATTTTATTTTTATTTTCTTCAGGCGGAGGGGTCGAGGCGTGAAGGACACGGCACCTAAGTCCTGCAGATGTATTTCACTACATAGAGACTTCTAGATCTTCCCCCCCCACCCCCCGCACCTCCGAAAGGCACAGTTGGCTACGAATGGTGCGAAAGTTGTTCAACACACACGTACGTACGCGTACAAAGACGGACACTGCATCGCGCGGCGCTATCTGATGCGCTTCTGCGGCCATCAGGAACGCTCTTCCTCACCGATATTAGGAAGTCACTGGGAGCTACGGACTTTTAAATTAATCATCATCTAGATTGACAAACTCATTTCTTTACAACTGTTTGTTGTTGTATTCTTGGTTCTTTCGGTAAAGTCACGTAGAACGGAAACAATAAAATTATGAAACAATAAAAATACTCACGACGTTTCGACTGCAACACAAGCAATCATCATCAAGTGTGAAAACCACACGTAAAAGGGAAACAATAAAATAATAAAATTATAAAACAATAAACGTGAAGAACCAGTGGCATCTACATCTGCAGAACGTGAAGAACCAGTGGCATCTACATATGCAGAACGTGAAGGACCAGCGGCATCTACATCTGCAGAACATGAAGAACCAGCGGCATCTACATCTGCAGAACGTGAAGAACCAGTGGCATCTACATCTGCAAAACGTGAAGAACCAGTGACATCTACATCTGCAGAACGTGAAGAACCAGTGGCATCTACATCTACAGAACGTGAAAAACCAGTGACATCTACATCTGCAGAACGTGAAGAACCAGTGGCATCTACATCTACAGAACGTGAAGAACCAGTGGCATCTACATCTACAGAACGTGAAGAACCAGTGGCATCCACATCTGCAGAACGTGAAGAACCAGTGGCATCTACATCTGCAGAATGTGAAGCACCAGTGGCATCTACATCTACAGAATGTGAAGAACCAGTGGCATCTACATCTGCAGAACGTGAAGAACCAGTGGCATCTACATCTACAGAACGTGAACAACCAGTGGCATTTACATCTGCAGAACGTGAGCAACCAGTGGCATCTACATCTGCAGAACGTGAGTAACCAGTGGCATCTACATCTACAGAACGTGAGTAACCAGTGGCA